CTCCCCCCCTCCCATTCCTTCTCCTATTCTTCCCCTTCCCCTCTGTCCATTCCTTTTGCCTATCCTTGTCCCTCCCCTTCCAAATATTTAGCAAGCGCCAGCCATGGGCCAGGCACCAGGACAGGCATGGGGCCACACTGATGGACAAGACAGTCAGGTCCTGGCTCTCTCGGCATGTGAGAAGTGCCTGGCTCCAGCCATAGCAATTTTGTTCTGTGGCTGCGACCTCATTCTTAATGTTCTTTGCCCCTGGCCTCCTGGTCACGCCCCTCCCCTTATGTCTCTGTCTCTCTCTCTCTGGGTCTCTCTCTCTTGGGCTGCCCCTGGTAAGGCTGGCTATTCCCTTGCCTTTTTTTTAAATGTTGGGGTTTCCCACGCTTCCATCCTTGGTCTCTTCACCTTCTCTGCAATCTTGACCCCTTCTTATCAGGGAAAACTGAGCTCCAGCTGCTTCTTGCCAATGCCCACATGTCTCTCTTTGCCTGGGTTGAGTGTTCCTTGAGGGCAGCTACTGGCAGAATTTATCCTTGTGGCTTCATACAGGGAAAGTTGGGGCCCTAGGGCCCAGTGAGTAAGGAGACAGAGAAGGCGTCCAGAGTGGGAGAGGGCGATGTTAATAACTCCCACAATGGAGCATTCTGCAGAGTGCCTTATAACCTAAATGGATAGATCATTGAACCTTGGGAAGGGAGGATCCTCTTACATTTTATAAAGAAAGAAACTCAGAAAGGTGAAGTCACTTGCCCAAAGAGGCACAGCCTGGAAGTAGCAGAGCTGGGACTCAGGCCCATGCCTGTCTGACCCACAGCCACGGCCCCTTTCTCTCCCCTTGCAGGTACTTGGAGAATCACCTGGCCAACCTCTTTGCGGGGGCCTGGGAGCCTCAGCCCGAGGGGCCCCTGCCCCTGGACATCCCCCAGGCATCCCCCCAGCAGGTGAATCGCTGCTATTTCCCAGCTGGGCCCCCGTCAGGCAGGGCCCTGCAGACCCTCTCTCTGAGTCAGGATCGGGGCCTTGATCTTGGGGGCTGACGGCCACGCAGGGACAGCCCTTTGAGCTCTGCCTCTTGCCCCAGGTTCAACGCTGTGTGGAGATCCTGAGCCGGGCCAGGAGGCCCCTGATGGTGTTGGGGAGTCAGGCCCTGCTGCCCCCAACCCCTCCCGACAGGCTGCGGTGAGGAGCCCCAGCCCTGCCGTTGCTATCACATTCCTGGGCCCTGATCCTCTGCCGTCCTGTAGGGAGGGGGCAGGCCCTTGGCTGTACTGATCTTTGCTTTGCCTGGACCCTCAGAGCTGCGGTGGAGACCCTGGGTGTCCCCTGCTTCCTGGGAGGGATGGCGCGGGGCCTGCTGGGCCGGAACCACCCCCTCCACATCCGGCAGAACCGCAGCAGCGCCCTGAAGAAGGCAGATGTCGTCATCCTGGCAGGTGGGGCTCAGCCTCCGGCCCTCCCTCCAGGCACCCCCTCCCCATATCACCCTGCCCCTCCCCCTCAGCTACTCACTGCCCTCCTTCCCCCACTCACTGTCTTAACTCTGGCTCCACCCCTTCCCCTTTCAAGGGTGTTGAACAACCCTGAATCTGAAAGTCAAGTTCATGCTCACCAAGCTGCAGTTGTGTTTGCCGACCCAGCTTCATGCAAAGGAAGGCGAACACCTAGTGGGCACCTACTGAGGCAGATGTCGTCATCCTGGCAGGTGGGGCTCAGCCTCCGGCCCTCCCTCCAGGCACCCCCTCCCCATATCACCCTGCCCCTCCACCTCAGCTACTCACTGCCCTCCTTCCCCCACTCACTGTCTTAACTCTGGCTCCACCCCTTCCCCTTTCAAGGGTTTTGAACAACCCTGAATCTGAAAGTCAAGTTCATGCTCACCAAGCTGCAGTTGTGTTTGCCGACCCAGCTTCATGCAAAGGAAGGCGAACACCTAGTGGGCACCTACTGTATTCTATACACATCTTCACACAGAGTGCTTTGAATCCTGCCAGACGTGCAATAGGTGTATCAACTACTGTAGTGTAACAGCCATCCCCAAACTCAGTGGATTAACGTGCATGTTTGATTTCCCAAGACCCCCCTGCAGGGTAGGTGGTAGTTCTGGTGCCAGCTGGGCTTGCTGGTTAGTCTGCAGTCAGGTAGGCAGGTAGGCAACTGTGCTGATCCAAGCTGGGCTCATCAGCAGTCGTGCATGGCTCAATGAATGGGAAATATTCTGAGAAATGTGCCGTCTGGCAATTTTGTCATGAGAACAGCATGGAGTGTACTTACACAAACCTGGATGGCAAAGCCTACTCCACACCTAGGTTGTATGGTACAGCTATCGTAATCTTATGGGACCACCATTGTATATGTGGTCTGTCATTGACCAAATGTCTGTTTGTGAAGTGTGACTATATTTGGGGATTGCTGGCTCTATAGGTGGTCTGGGATGGCCTCAGCTGGGATAACTGAGTTCACCACCCCATGTTCCTTCCCTCTGGCAGGTTAGCCTGGGCTGGCACACCTGGTGGATGATGAGAAACGTGGGGCTGGGGGAGCACAGTTATTTGAGAGACAGAGTGGAAGCTGTGAGGCTTCTGGAAGCCTGGTTTCAGGACAGTATACCATCACTTCTGCCACATTCTGTTGGCCAAAGCACATCCCAGGGCCAGTCTCAATTCAGGGGGTGGGGAGCAGCAGAGTCATTGCAGATGGCAGGGGCACAGGGAGAGGAGAAGAACAGGGGCCCCCTTGCATTCACTCTGCCACAGTGGGTCAGGTACAGTAGTGGGTGTCCCCCAGGACACTGCCCTCTGTCCACTGAGACCCTGTCCCCCACCCCAGGAGTCGTGTGTGACTTCCGGCTATCCTATGGCCGTGTCCTCAGCCACAGCAGCAAGATCATCATCGTCAATCGTAACTGGGAAGAGATGTTGCTCAACTCAGACATCTTCTGGAAGCCCCAGGAGGCAGTGCAGGGTGAGCCCCCCAAAGCCCCTTACACGTACGTGCTCCTCCCAGTCCCTCTCCTCCTGGCCTCTGCTGCAGCTGGCTTGAGCTGGGTGCTGGTGATCGAGGCCTGGACCCTGCCCCAGGGGGCACCTGGTCAGCCAGAGACATGTATTTGGCTCTCAGACTGATGGGTGCTTCTTTCAGAACAAATGGTGGGGTGGGCAAAGAGGGAGGATTGGAAAGGTGGTTATTTTCCCTGCAGACTCTCACATGCTGCCCGGTGCCTGCCCTCTTTGGTCCTTGAGCCTCTCTCTTGTCCTGCCGTAGTCCCCTCACCTCAATTCCAGTCCTTCCTGTGCCCTACTTTGCCCATCATTCTAAGGATGCTGACTCCCCCCTGTGGCGTTGGTGACAGGGCACTTCTGTGTTAAGCAGAGTGACACCGTTGCATTTGTGTTTGGGGAGGTCCATCCTGGCAGCTGGTGGGCAGTAGGCTGGAAGCGGGCCAGGCGGAGGCTGGGGGTGCTGTTAAAAAGGACCAGGACAGGAATGAGGAGGCCCGGAGTGGGGATGGATGGGACAAGAGGCTCCACTTCTAAGTTTCATTTGACCATTTTTGAAATGGAGATGGTGACAAGTTTGTCTCTGGGCCATTTGGTCATTCACTCCAACAATGCTTGCCTTGAGCTTCTGCATGCCAGGTTTGAGAGGCATGCCTGGTGGGTGGCGCTGCTTTTATCCACATGTTTCAGAGGCAGTACCAACAGGCCTTGGTGATCTGCGGTGGGCACGGGAGTGAGGTGATAAAGCTGGCTTGGGTTTGTAACCTGCTCGGTGCTCCCTAAACCTTGTTTCTCAAGCCTTTCCCTCCCTCTCACCCGGGTTGCCCTCCCCTGGTTCTGGCAAGCTCTGGGGTGTGTTAAACTTGTTTTGCTCTGGGAGCGCTCCTGCCTGCTTCTAAGCCTCCTGCTGGGATGCTGCTGGTGGCTTCCTGCTGACTTCGGGTGTCTGTGGTGCTGGAAGGGCAGGAGGAAGCCACCTCCCCACAGCTGTGACCTCTTCTGTCTCCAGGAGATGTGGGCTCCTTTGTGTTGAAGCTGGTGGAAGGCCTTCAGGGCCAGACGTGGGCCCCAGACTGGGCAGAGGAGCTGCAGGAAGCTGACCGGCAGAAGGAGCAGACCTTTCGGTAGGTGCTGGGGGGGAGTGGGCATGGGAGGGAGAGTCCCCGCAAGCTCTGTTGCAAGCCCTGATGACCTTGACTGCCCTGTTGCAGGGAGAAAGCAGCAATGCCCGTAGCCCAGCACCTGAACCCAGTGCAGGTGCTGCAGCTGGTGGAGGAAACTCTGCCAGACAACTCCGTTCTGGTGGTGGATGGCGGGGACTTCGTGGGCACTGCCGCCCACCTGGTACAGCCCCGTGGACCCCTGCGCTGGCTTGATCCTGGTAAGGAAGGGCCCATGCCTGGGGCAGCTTGCACCATCTGGACCCCTTCCCACCCACCTGCTCTTGGTCCTCCTAGGGGCCTTTGGGACTCTGGGAGTTGGCGCAGGATTTGCCCTTGGGGCCAAGTTGTGCCATCCGGATGCTGAGGTGAGGCACTAGAGGCGGGAGACTTGCTGCTTTCTGGGCCATAAGCCATACTGACTGTCTGGGCTCTCCCCCTCCTCCTAGGTCTGGTGCCTTTTTGGGGATGGAGCCTTTGGCTATAGCCTCATTGAGTTTGACACGTTCGTCAGACACAAGGTGACCAGGCTACCCTGGGGAAGCTTAGAGCCTGGGGTTCTGGGAGAAGTCAGGGCTGGGCTGAGGTGGGGAGGGGGCCTCCTCTGTCTGCCAAGGCCCTGTCCCTTTCTCTCTGCTCTGTCTAGCCAAACCTTGAGGCTGATGGTGGTGGCCTGGCTGTGTCTTCCTGCAGATCCCGGTGATGGCTTTGGTAGGCAACGATGCAGGCTGGACCCAGATTTCTCGGGAGCAGGTGCCCTGTCTGGGCAGCAATGTGGCCTGTGGACTGGCCTACACAGGTGAGGAGCCTCGGCAGGGTGGGGAGGATAGGAGCTGTTGAAGCCCAGCTGGGCTTGTGTTCTTGTCCTGGGCTGGCTGCATGGTAGTCCAGGTCCCTGTCCCCATCTGACTTATCTCCTCTTTTAGATTATCACAAGGCAGCCATGGGTCTGGGGGCCCAGGGCTTGCTGCTGTCACGGGATAATGAGGATCAGGTGGTCAAGGTGCTGCGTGATGCCCAGCAGCAGTGCCGAGATGGCCACCCGGTTGTGGTCAATATCCTCATTGGGAGGACAGACTTCCGTGATGGCTCCATTGCTGTATAGGGCCTTGAGGGTCAGTACACTTGGCTCCCTTCCTGCCCCTGGACTATGCAGAGCCAGTTTGGAGTCTCATCCTTGCCTTCCCTGGGCCTATCCCATGAGGCCCAGTGACTCCACCACTCTCCATGAGGAGGGGACGGAGGCGTCAAAGCTCAGAGAGTTCCCTGGCAGCCCTGGAGAGCTCTTGGACTCCTCTACGGGCCTAGCTGTGTCCTTTCTCCCCACCTCTCACACAGACTGAATAAACCACGTCTGGCTCATGTGCACCCAAGTACCAGTCCCAGAATCTGTGCATATTGATTTATTGTCCACAAAGATGGAGGTGATGGAAAGTGGAGACGGGAGGGGACCCTACTCTCCCACTGGAACTCTGGGGCCCACTGAGGCACCATGACTGGGTGGGATTTCAGGGTGCCTGGGCATTTCAAACTTTTCCCCCCTGTGGTCCCTGAAAGAGCCCCACACGCCTGCTGCAGACATGTCCACGCACACTGTTCCTCACACACAGACACACACATGCACGGAGGCAATAAATATGTTCCGTACCAAAGTGCCCCCAGCCTGATGCTTCAGGTGGGGCCCCTCCGAGAGGGAGGGGTTAAGTGCTCAATTGTTTCAGGGGTGAGGAAGGGGAAATTGGGGAGCGGAAGGGCCAGACTCTGTTACCCCCGTTTGCTGGTTGGAGGCCAGTCATGGGGTCTTCCTTGGAAAAGAGGGTGGGGAAACAAGCTGTTTTTCTATAAGCCCCAGGCTGCCCCTATCCAGCTGGAGCCCAGGATAGGGGCTGCCCCCTCTCCCCAAAACAGCACCTCATGATAGTCCTTGGGTCCTCCAAGGGAGGGAGAAACAGTGCAGTGCTCAAAGCTAATACTGATTTGGTTTGCAGCAGCAAGAGGACTGAGTAGGGGGTGTCTCAGCACCCCAGGGTGATGCTCACTATAACTGGTTTCCCTAGCCAAGGGGAGACGAGGGAGGCCAGCCTAGCAAGCGGGAGAACTGCCTTTTGGCCACAATAGGAGAAGTCCTTGGTGCTCAAGAAACATAACCACACAGCTGGTCCCTAAAATCCCCCGTCCCTGGCCTTTACAACCAGTGCCCAAATACTGGGCGCTGGAAACTGGGAATGATTCTCAGCAACGGGTGGCTGGTCTCTTGGCAACTCCCTAGCAACCAGGAGCTCGGGTTGAGCAACAGGTCTGGTCCTCCTCGGTCGTTAGGGCCTCGCCTTAGCAACCGGGAGCCCGTCCTCGGTGGCACCCGCAGCTCAGAGGCACACGTTGATCTGCTTGGAGAGCTCCCTTTCCAGGTCCAGGATGAGGGCGTCAAAGTCTTTAAGATTCAGGTGCGGATTGAAGGGCGCATCAAAGTCGTCCTCGAAGTGGGCGGCACCCCTCGGCTCGCCCGCCTCGTCGTCCTCGCTGTCACTGCCCGTCACGTGGTCGTAGTCGGGGCCGGACAGGAATTCCCGCCCGCAGGGCAGAAAGTCCCGCCCGCACACGCTCCAGTCGCCAGCGTAGCGGTTGCTCGGGGGGCTCTCAGGGCCACCCCTGCCGCGGGGTCGAGTCACCACTTCGGGGCCTGCCAGCGGCAAGCGCAGAACCGGCTGTCGTCTGGGCAGCACGCACGGGGCCACGTCCGGAGCCTCCTGGGGCCGCTGCGGATCTGAGCGGGGAGAGGCAGGGCTTGTGATGACATCACGCACAGTGGAGGCAGCCAGACCTCTGATTGGCTGTTTAGGTACCCAGGCCCCTGATTGGCCTGTGGAAAGGGCAGGCCTTCGACCGCAGCAGGGTTTTATTGGCAGAGCTAGAACTGGTTGCTTAGGTAACCGGCCCTCTGATTGGCTGTAAAAGGCAGGGCCTCTAACCGCATCAAAGATGGATTGGTCGGATCTGAACTGGTTGCCGAAGCGACCAAGTACCTACCCCGAAGAGGGCGTGACCTACCCCAAGTCTCAGACTTTGGCCGCAGGCGGCCGGGCCTGGATTGGCAGCGCCGGACGGGGGCGGGCTCACCTGGCCAAGACTGCAGCAGGTAGTGCAGCACCTCGATGTGGCGCTTGAAATCCACTGCGCTGGAGGGACCTGGGCCGGAGCCGCGGGCGCGGGGCCGGGCGGGCGCCTGGCGCGATGGAAGCAGGACGGGTCCGAAACACACGGCCAGGTTCTGCGGGGTCATGCGGTTATGGGCGTGGAAAGAGGAGACGAGGCGCAGGTGGTCCAAGAGGAGCGTCAGCGTGGCCTGGGGACAGTGTTGGAAGGACATAAGGAGGGCAAAATCGAACCCCTGCGTACCTGCGGGCGACTAAGGCAACTCAGTGTGCAAACAGGTTCAAGGTCTCATAGCTGGAAGGTGTCTGAGCTAAGCCTTAACAATTCGATATTAGTATTATGATCCCATTTTGCTGGAGTGGAGACTGAGGCCAAGGACACCTTAGCTTTGGAATGGCAGAGCTTGGACTCGAACCTAATTCTTTATGTGTTAGGCGGAGCTGGTATGAACCCCATTCTACAGATGAAGGCACAGAGAGGGACTTGTCCGGGATCTCACAGCCAGGAATCTCCCTTGTGGTAGGTTGACAGACCTGTGTTTCAGCATCCTGGCTGTGCGACCTTGGGCCACTCATTCAACCGCTCTTAGCCTTGGTTTCCAAATCTATGAAATGGGATACTAATAACACCTACTTTGTGGGGATGTGATGCCACAAGCCGATGCCCATCGCAGGCCTAGGACTGGATGAAGCACTCTATTGGTATCAGCCCATTCCATGTCCAGCCCACTCCCACCAGGCCCAACTCACCCTTTCCACATCCGGCAAACAACTGAGGAGCCCTCGGGTGCCATCAGGGCTGGGGGGGGCCCTGCTTGGGGGACTTTGGGCCATGGCCTCCAGCACCACCTGATAGAGGGGCTGGGTGATGAGCGGTGTGGGCAACTCTCGAAGATAATCCTTGAGGATGCCTGTGGACACAGGGACCCCTCTGTTCAGGGCACTCTTGGCTTCTGAGGCCAGAGGGGTCAGTTGGGACTGGGAGGGGGAGGAAAAGGTGGAAGACAGGTGCAGGAGCGTGAAAACAAGGTCAGACCCTTGTTTCGAGAGGTCAGGGGGAGAGGTGAGGTCACAGAGGAGCCGCATGGCCATCCTTGAGTTGAAGGGTGAGTAAGGGGGTGAGCAGGCAGGGGATCGGGGCATGCTGACCAGTGATAACATTGATATCAGGGTACAGGTCCTCGGAGAGGCAGACAGCTGCACTGTCACGCTCAAATGCATCCCGAAGCTCTTTCTTCACTGCTGCTGAGCCGCATAGACGGTATAGCCCCACTACCTGGGGGTCGCAACAAAGAGAAGATGTCTTCTTGCTGGGACCACAAACTGATCAGAGTCCAGTGGGGTGGGGGCTGGAGGCCTGGGCCAGAGTGGGAGTGGACACTGAGCTGGGAGATTGGTGACTGACTGTAGCCCTGCTGGCTGCCTCTGCTCCTCTGACACCTGTCACCTGACTCGCTGCCTGGCTGTGTGGACAACCTGGCCTCATAAATTCTCTGCTTGGATCACTCCTCCTAGCCCACCTTCTCTGACTCCTCCTCAGCTCACGTGTCACGTCCTCCACCAGGAAGCCTTCCCTGACTACCCCAACCAAGTTAGGTCCTGCTTTAAGCTTTCCCAGGGTTCTCCCCTTTCTAACTGTTGTCCCAGCTGCAGCTTTACACTTGGGAGTTATTAGAGTCATGTCTTTTCCCCCATCTGACTCTGAGCTCCAGGAAGGCTGGGATCTTGTTAAATGCCCAGATGACCCATGGGTTCAGGACTGAGTGCTGCGGTCTGGGGGAGCCTCCTGCCCATCTAGGCTGGGATTGGAGGTAAGAGTGGCTCAGACTGGGGGGAGGGGTCTGGCGTCCATACACTTCGTGTCTTGGGGAGTGGGTCTGAGGTCTGGGGACCGGCGGGGGCTCACCCGCAGCCCTCGGCGCTCGATCTGCGCAACACACTTCTGGATGATGAGGGGCACCTGGCCTGGGGAGTGTTCCCGCTCCACCAGCAGCGGCAAGGGTAGCCCGAAGACGCGGGGCTCAGCTGTGGCGGGGGCTTCCTGCTGCTCCGACAGGGTCAGCTTGGCATACAGCAGGCCCTGGGGCTCGAGGCGCACGGCCAGCTGCTGGGCCTGGCACCCTGAAGACACAAGGGGCCTGAGCCGGGTCTGCCCCGCTTGTTCCTGTATCTTGGCCCCACCCACTGCAAGCCACACCCCGTACTGGAGCCCCGCCCCCTGGGCGCTGTGGGGGAGGGGAGCGCCGTGAGCCAGGTCTTGTGCCCTGCTCCTCCTCCCCAGTAGCCATGTGTCCTACCTCGGAAGACTGTGGGCAGCAGCACGGTGCCCTGGGCACAGGGACGGTGCCGTCTCACTCCAGGGTCCCAGGCTAGCACTAGGGCGCGCAGTAGCCGGGCAGCCTCGAGCTCCAGGTGGAAGGTGTGGTCCAGCCGCAGGAAGTCCGGCCCCCCCCGCAGTGGCCCCGTTCGGGCCCGGGCCACCCCATCCACTTGCAGCAAGCAGCAGAGGTCTCTCGGGGTGGCCCCCGGCGCTGGCCGCAGCCCCCCGAGCCCGTACAGGTGCAGGCTGAGGCGACCCCAGAGAGCGGCGGGGGGCGCCCGGGCTGCCGCGCCCACCTCGTAGGGCCGGAAGGCGGTGGGCGACGGGGGTCCTGCTGGGCGCTCGGGCGAGTCGCCGTCACTGAGGTAACCGGCCCTCGGGTTCCGCGTGCTCCCGGTCCCTGCCGCCCGCCCGGGGGCCCCCACGCTGCTGTCCAGGTGGTAGCGGCTGATGACGGAGCCTGCCGGGGCGGCCCTCTCGCGCTCCCGACCAGCCCGGGGACCTCGCAGGCTGAGGCGGCGCCGCAGCTCCGGCAGCTTCTTCATCTTCATGGAGAGGCGCCTGGCGGGGCCCGGGGACTTGGTGCGGGAGGCTTTGGTCAGGGGGCTGGCTGGGGCTGTACCTGTGGGGAGAGCAGACCTCAGGGGCCAGGAACCTGGGCTTGGGGCAGGGGAGTCAGGTTTGTGCCCACCCGGGGTGGGGAGGGGTGTGAGGTTTGTACTCACCTTGGGGGACTGGGCCCTCTGGCTCAGCTGAGCCTGGTTGTGTCCCTGCGGACTCAGGTGCTGGGGGTCTGGGGTCTTCCTCAGGGATGGGGTTGTACCAGATCTCGCCGGCAGGCTCCCCGCTGCCGGGTGCCCCGGGCCCCAAAGCAGCCTCCTCAGGTGGCTTGGTACCGCCCAGCACCCAACGGCGGCTGCTGGGCTCCAGGCTTTGCAGGTAGGCCCCCCGTGCAGGGCTCCGCGATGCCTCCGGGCTGGGGAGCCCCTCCGCTCCAGCCTGCGACCCTTCAGGGGCCTGGGATTCTGGCTCTGGAAGAGTGGGCTCTGGGTGCTGGGCTGGGCGGCCTGGTGGACAGCAAGGGGACTGAGACCCAGCCCCCCACCGTCCCCAGAGCAGCCTCAGCCCAGCGATCTTCTCCCAGCAGGAGCTGGAACTGCGGTCTGCTAGGCACTGGCCCTCATTCCATACAATTGGTTTGTATAGACAGAATGCCATGTCCAGCCCTGGCCAGGCCCCTGATAAGTCACTGCTCCAAGGGGCCTGTTGTTTTGTCTGGAATGGGAGACCCCAGGCTAGCAGTCTTTTCAGTTACCAGCTTAGAGTCCACCCCCTCGCAGTCCCTGGCGTTCCAAAGGGGTCTCAGGCCCTCCAAGTTGGGCTTCCTGGGGCCCTCAGGGCCTGCGTTCCAGTCTCCACTTCCCCACTGCTCTCACGAACCCTGGTGTGGAGTCCTGAGCCTGTCCCTTTTCAGTGGGTGGCCTTGGGCAAGTCACTTCCTTTCTCTGAGCCTCAGTGTCCTCCTGTGAAATGGGGAGATGCAATGCCCACCTCCAGCGAGGCTTCAGAGAGCATTCCTAGGAGTCGTGTCATGGTCAAGCACACAGTGACACTGGCTTACTTGCTCTGGAGACAGGAGCTGGGTTCTCTCTTCCCTGCAGCATGTCACCTCTGGACCTCTGTCCAGCCCCACCTCCCCTTTTCCAAACTTAGCCTCCACTCTGGGGTGGGCCTGTTCCTCAGTACAGACAAGACCCCCCACCCCTCCATGGTCAATGCCTTGGAGCCTCCCCTTTCCTCCCTCCTCTCCTCTCTGACATCCTGGGCTGTTTCCTGTGTGTGTTTTTGTGTGGGCCCTGGGAACCTTGGGAATCTTTGGGAAGGGGTGGGGTGGCAGGGGTGGGGGGTGAGGGTGGAGGGGGGGTGGTGGGACGGGAGAGGTCAGGTTCATGGAGTAGTCTGGCTTCCCTCCTTTAACTCCTTCCTTCCTGGGATCCCCCATTCCATGAAGCTCCCGTTTCTCTAAGCTGGCTGACTCCCTCCTCTGGTCACCTCCAATTTCCACCTCCCAGGACCCTGTCTCTGGGGTCTCTATTAATAGCACAATCGAAAGAGCTGTTTAAGTCACTTCACTGGCGCTGGGCAAATTACCCAACTGCCTTGTGCCTCAGTTTCCCCATCGGTATAAAGGGGACAGTTAGCCAGGCGCAGCTGGAGTTACTGCTTAATAAGTGAGAGGGGAACAGGGGTGACTATTGAGTGATGCGCGGTCTCTCTCCTCTGCAGGAATGCCTCCCCTCCATCCTGCGCCTCCAGGGCTCCCGATGCCCCGTGCCCGGCCTGACCGGGGGCCCCAGTGTCCCAGCCTCCCAGTCCCCCGTCCCCTCCGCCCTCCAGGCGCTCCGTCGCGGCCCCATTTCCTGTCAGGGGCGAGGCCCCCTCCCGGGCCTCCCAAGGAGCCCGCAGCGCTGGCATCCCGGGCCAGCCTCACATAACGGTCCGCGCCCCCCTCCCCTCCCAGCCCCCTCCTTCCAGGACCCCTGCACGCCTCCGGTTCCAGGCGCCCGGGCCGGCAGGGGGCTCCACGGGGCTCCCCCTGTCCCCCCAGCTGTCCCTCCTCGGGGCCCCGGGACCCCCTCCCAGGCCGGGCGGGGCTC